GCAGAGTAGCAACGGGTATTTAAACGAGCACCAGCAGAGGGCATTTAAATAAACTCCGGCCACCTCAAGCTTACCACTATTTCCAAGTCCGGCATTTAAAGAACTGAACTCAGTTGTGTGATATAGCCGGGGAGCGGGCCGCATAGGAAAACTACTTCCAACATTACTTCCAATGTTGAGCGCAGTCTGCTGCCTCACAACGGCTGTTGTATTGGTGTTTTGCGGTCATTGCCTAGCAACAGTCTAGATGCAACAATAATTTTCATGCTACCTGCAAGCACACTTCAGTATCTCATCCTCAAACCAAGATTTTCTGTATGGTAGGGTCTAGAATACTGACCTTACAGAATTAATCAACCGAGAGTCTGCATGGTAGACCCTGACTAGGCAGGCACTACTGCATGGGGAAGGCACTGATGATGGCTTAGAAGCCAAAAACATCATGATAAACTAACAAACTACAGAATAATTGCTGATAGTGTTGAATTATATTTAAGAATTAAATTAAAACTGACCATTTAATGTATGGGAACACTTTTCTAACACCTTAAGAAATTTTGCAGGACACAAGATACGAATGAATATTATGAAGATAAAATGTTCATAAATGAATTTTGATACGAAACAAACACCCTGATGAAATTCAGCTGTCTGCCATATTGCTGTCTAAGCAAACACAAAATACTTTGCATATTACAGATTTTTCCATGCAAAAATTTCTAATCTGTCTCCCACTCAACTCACCACTCACAAAATTCATTATGCTTCTCATACATGTATCACTGTCAATCCAATTATTTTCATTTCTACACATCTCAGAACAAGATATCCGATTGTGAACAGTTCAGGACATGATTGTCCAGTATTTATTACAGTTCAAAATATATGGAGTAGGAAAGCTGCACCCTTCATCACACTACACATGGCTAGTTCCTCCAACTCTTGTGTACATTTCCACAGAGCGTATTACATGCCATTAACTCCGATACTTCGAAAAAAGCTCTTTACAAGCCGAGACAGGTCACCTGGATTCTAAGACTGTACTCTTGTCAAAAGGAAAGGCATTTTGGAGGAATATGTGGCCTCTGTTTTCTGAGAAGAACTCCTTACAGTATCTTTACACGTCTTGTGTAATGTACTTCAAAGCATCTGCCTGTTACATTTTTTACTGCATGTCTTGCCTTTCCTCAATCTGTTTTACACATGACACAGGTCACACACCCCATTTTCATTCCTGTCACTAATATAAGGCTATTCATTCAACCTCCAAACACATTTGCCACTTGATGGCCTGCCTCAGTTAACCTTTGCCATTCTTCCAACAGCAGTCTTCCTTTCAAGCACTGGGGATTTTACATCACTTTTCTTAAACCTAACTTAAAAGTCTCTTACTGCAACGTTCCTGGAGCAACACATATGCACAAGAAGCTTGAACTCGCTTCTGGAAGCCACACCCTTTCCTGCATCACCTCTTCACTGTCCTCTTAAACAGATACGAGTGAGCTTAGTAGTCACCACTGTAGACGCTTCCAGGATGTTTAGCGTAATCAGAGGTCTTTGGATTGACTATTGCTGGTTTGTTTGAATATTTAGAGGGCTTTTTGTATGAAAAATAATGAGAACTGCACCAAAATGTTGGTCCTGCCATGCCATGGCAAATTTCTCATTGTCCCTTAATGAAATCACTTCCCTTTCCTCCTTTTTCATCAGTTCCTTTTTGATGTTCAGGTATATACTTTCTGGATGTCATTACTGGGCCTTTTGTTACCGTGTCCATGCTCAGTAGCTCATGAGCTAACAGGAGACTTCCAGCGCCTGGTGCTGATAACACATCTGGCAGGTTGGATGGTGTGGCCTTTGACGAGATCTCAACCCCACTCTTTCACTGCTCTTGTAAGTCTCACACTTCCAATAGGATATAGCGTATAGCACTGCAGACCGGTGGTTACATTTAAACGATTTCTTATGATAAGAAGAATCCTGGGTGTTAAAGTAACAGTGTCTACTTTCATCTTGCAGATTTCTGGTGCAATGAATCTTGTGCTGCTAAGGGTATATTCAAATAGTAACACTTCATAACAAACAAAAAACAAGTAATGTCACATGTGACTTCTAATAGCAATATATGTTGGGGAAATTTGACACATTTCAGAACCTAAATCACAATAATTACAAAGCATTATTTTAAATTTGATGTAGCAATTAATTAGGTGATTCCATGCATTAACCTTGTAATGTCAGAAAAAAAACAAACCTGCTTTTACAAGGATACATGTTTATTGTACATATAATGCAGGTATTTCAAATTCTCATAACTCAAAACAATGTCTTGTTGAATATTAGGACCAAAATATACTTTCTGCACAATATAAAACTTTACTCACCGCATTTCTTCCCCTTTCTCTGATTCATGTGTACACCTATAAACTCACACAACAGGACAGCTGCTATATGTCATATCAGGATATAAACTCAACGAGTTTAACACTGAGGCACAGCTATGTGCAATATGATAATCATTTGAGCAATTTAAATAACAGATCCCAATGAGCCTTGTGTTTATCTCCTTGGTGCTTCGCATTTATTTCTCCCAATCTTTACTTTTGAAATCAAAGTTTTGTTGAGATGTGTGGGCATAATTTTGTAAGATCATATATCAGAAAATTGCTTCCTTGTTATTAGACAATTCTGGTGAGTGTTCAGATACTTGTGAAGACGTGTTCTTGATATCTGGAATACAAGTCCAATAAATATTTTGCAGTGTGAACAACAGAAAGACACATTTTCCAGGCTCATTCCTTGACAATTTAAATGTCACTGGCATTTGAAAATGATCTATTGCAATCTTTAACGTCTCTGTCATAACATCAGATTATCTCTTGTCTTTCCTAAACTTACAGATCTATCCTGAGACATTCTTGTAACATGGAAAGGTTTCCACACCCACACTGTATCCAATGGTTTGTAACAGCCTTCTAGAACATGCATTACTTATAAACAAGTACGTCTTCTACTTAATACATTGTACAATATCTGATGTGAAATCTCCGAATCCTTGTTTCCAACAGTGTATTAACCAGACTGGGAGAAATGAAGGCTCATAAACACAGCTGTTGATTAAAAGCAAGGTCTTGTTCTCAGAATCGCTAGATTTTTCACTTGTTTTACTTACCACACTGTATAAAACCTGATGTGATATCGAATTCATGTTCCAAATATTGCATTAACATAACTGGAAGGATCGAAGGCTCATCCACACTGATGTTGCCTGTTAAGAATAAGAGGTCACACCAACCATAATGACAACTTACAATTACTTCTACATAAACTACATACATCATTGTACTCCAATGTGCATTACCTGAGGCAAAATCTCTGAATTCATGCTTCCAACACTGTGTTAACCTGACTGGGAGAAATGAAGTCTCATTAACACTGATGTTGCCTGTAAGAATAAGAGGTCACATCAATCATAATGACAGCTCACAATGTCTTGTTCTACATACAACATTGTACATTACCTGACGTGAAATCACTGGATTTATTTTTCAAGGATTGTATTACCCCGAGTGGGAGAATTGTAGGTTCATCAACACTGGGGTTGCCTCTAAAAGAAAAAGATCATACCACCATTAATGTAATTGACCACTGTACACTCCTTGATATGAAATCTCTAACTTCTTTGTTACAACACAGGAATATGCTGACTAGCTGCAATTCAGTTATGAAATAATCTTTTCATGCAAATAAGTTGTACCTACATTCCTGAAAGCTTATAGTGATTTTTTTGAACTGACCACACTGTACACTACCTGAATTGGAAATTTCTGAATGTTTTTTTTAATATTATATTTTATCCTGTGTAGCAGCAATGAAGACTCATTAACACAGTTGTTCCCTGTAAAATAAGAAGTGGTATCAGCTTTATGACAGCTCATAAGGATGGATGCCTTATCTGACCTCACTGTATACTACCTGATATTAAAACGCAGATTTCAGGTTTCCAAAATAATATTAAACTGAGTGGTATCAATTAAGTCTCATAAACACCATTGTTACCTCAAATAATGAGTGATAAGAACATTATTGGCAATTCAAAAAGATGACTTATTCAGCTCATCACACTGTACAGTACGTGATGTGAAATCTGTGACTTATGTTTCCATTGTTGCATTAACCTGAAAAGCAGCAATTAAGACTCAACATAGTTGTTCCCGGTAAAATAGGACATGTTATCATCATCAATGACAGCTCATAAAGTTGGATTCCTTCAGTTGACAATACTGTACCTGATGTGGCATCTCTGAAATCATGTTTCCAATAGGGTTTTAACCAGATTTGTTGCAACGTTTGCTCATCAGCACTGTACTTGCCTGAAAGAAAAGAGGTCATACCAACATTAATCCTAACTTAAAAAGGACTTGTTCAACAGACACTGTACTGAAGTGATATCTGTCAAATAATGTTTCCATCATAGGACTAATCTGACCACAAGCAATCAAAGCTCATCAACACAGATTTCCATCGCAAATAAGCAGTGGTACCGACAGTAATGAGAGCTCACAGAGAAGGATGTCTTCAGTACATCCCAATTTACACTACATAATCTGAAGTCTCTTAATTTCTGTTTTATCATAGTCTTAGCCTGACTGGGAGCAATGACAGCTCATCAACATATGTTTGCTGTGGCATGAGAGGTAGTAAGAAAGTAAAGCTGTCCCCTGTGCTTAAATAAACACTATGCCATGAAGTCATATGAAGGAGTGGATATATGGATCCACAGTGCAGTCGGTATAGTGACTGGCTATAGGCTGGATGACCGAGTGGTTGGGAGTTTGAGTCCTGATAAGGTCAAGAATTTTCTCCTCTCCATGTCATCCACACTGGCTCTGAGGGCCACCCAGCCTCCTATTCAATGGGTACTGGGGGTCTTTCTCCGGTGGTAAAGTGGCATGGGTATGAAGCTGAGCACTCATCTTCAGCTGGTGATGAGGCCAGGGAAATATGGATCTACAATAAGAGGTAGTACTATCATTGACAGCTCACAAAGATTGCTTAGTTCAAGTGACCAATTTGTACACTACCTGATAAGAAACCTCAGAATACGTTTCCAACATATCGTCACAATTTAGGGGTGTGACTATAGACGGGGTATGGATTGGATGAATTGGATTTATTGACTACTTCTATACACCACTCGGAACAACAATTTGCATTTCACTGACACACACACACACACACACACAAAGACTACTGTCCTCAGTGTATTACAATATCCACTAGCCGTTTCCTGGCAACAGATTTAATACAGAGGATATTTTCCGTTTCTGTTGCCCGCTGGTTAACACTCCACACCTGAACTCATAGCGCCATCATCTCACCCTCACTTGCAGAGCCCAACTCTCGACTAACTGCTCAATGGATCTCCGGAACTGAATTAACTTTTCTTTATTAACTACTTGGCACGGACCGAATGCAAAACGCCGTTTTCAACAATACCCCTAATGTGGGCGTGTTTACCGATCCGGTGCTTGGAAATGGATTTCATGACACTGTTTTCCTATTGTTGCGTGCAGGTTATGTTGCGGGGGTTACCTAACATTACCTTTGATTCCTATCAATTTCGGTATGGCACGTGTTTTCACAAAAATATTATAAATGAAATTTCGCAGTTACATTTGGTAAAGGTTTTTAATATAATGGAAACAGGGCCAGTTTTTTCTTTTTTTCATTTCCGATCTTTCAGTGCAGAAGTGTCAGCATCAAAGAATACTAAGATTCGTGCTTATTTATTTCACTTTGCTTTGGAATTTGCCATTACGAAGTTCAAGGAAAAATAGGAGAAGATTCAATTCGAATGGGGCACAAGAGTTTCTGGTCTATGCTGATGTTAATCTACTAGAGGAACAAATGTTTTTATAAAAGATCCAAGAGCCCTATAGACGCAAGCATGTTTTTACGTAAGAAAATAAAAAAGAAACTAAGTATATGCTTATACTATATTATACAGGGTGATTCAGAAAGATGGACACAATTTCAATTGGCTATATTTCCTGAACTACATATTGCATTTGAATTCTGTAAAGTACATTTGAAAGAGGATGCTGTAAAGTTTCTAATATTACCGCTAGAGCACTCCAGCACCGCGTCAGTTGTAAGCGAGATGGCTACTATGCAACACAAGAATTTTTTGCATTCGTGAGTTCAGTAAAGGTGAGTGTGCGACTGCGGTGCAGCCTGCATTTCATCGTAAGTTTAACATCCAACCTCCAACGAGGAAGAGCATTTATCGTTGGAATAACCAATTTGATGAAACTGGCTCTCTGTGTAAGGATAAAAGCCCGGGCCGATCGCGTGTATCGGAGAACGTGGGATAAATTCAGCTACCGTCTTGATGTTATCCGTGCAGCCGGAGAGGGGCACATTGAACATCTATTAATTTCCGTATATGTATAATCAAATGTACTTTACAGAATTCAAATGCAACATAGAATTCAGGAAATATAGCCAATTGAAATTGTGTCCATCTTTCTGAATCACCCTGTACTATACGTACGTTGAGAGAAAAATCATATCTGATAATTAATCCTGTGATATTTTTAAGTTTGCCATTTAACGACGCTGTCAGTATGGACAGTATACAGCGTCGATAATAGGATGATTAATGAACATGGAACAGTTGGTGACATGAGAATTAGCATAGGACTCCTAAGTTCTCTTGAGAAAACACGCTCCCCTCTCGCTTCTCCACCACGAATCCACACGATCTGACCTGCCATGGGAAGATAATGAGAAGTTCAAATATTTGTGGAAGACACTAACAAATCGAAACTGTATTCATGGCAATGTCAAGTTGTCCCTGTGCTCAGCAAATTCAAGCTCTACGCCACGAATATGTATGGGGGAGTGGATGTATAGATCCACATATTCTTGATCTGGGCACTAGCTGGACGTTGAGTGGTCAGCTTCAAGCCCAGGCCGCTTAACCCCCCGGGAAAGACAACGTTAAGGTAACGTAAAAAAGTAAAGTTGTCCTTGTGCTCAACAAATTTAAGCACTACACCATGAAGGCGTATGGGGCAGTGGATGTATAGATCCACATTTTCTTGACCTCGGCACTAGCTGGAGGTAAGTGGTCAGATTTATGCCCCGGCCACTTTAACCCCGAGGATAAAGCTCCCGGTACCCATTAGATAGGTTGCGTGGACACCAGTTCCGGTCTGGACGTTTTAAAGAGAAGAGAAAATTCCTGACCCTACCGGGTCTCGAACTCCGACCCCTCGGTCGTCCAGCCCGTAGCCAGTCGCTATCCCGGCTCTGTTGTAGCTAGCAGTGCATACAAAATTTCGATAGGAAAACCAAAGGAAAGAGACCACTAGGAAGACTTGAGTTTGTATGGAATAATATGAAAATGTATATTGAGTAAATGAGATGAAAAGTTACGGATATGATACACCTGGCTCCAGATTGGGACCACTGGAGTGGGTAATGAACCGTGTGGTTCTGAAATATGCTGCAGTTTGTGTAGCTGAGCTCAACTACTGGCCAATCGCAGGAGATTCAGCTCCACGGCTTCAAT